TGGCTATCAATGCGAGAAGTCTCTGCAAACTATTCACTCATGGCGACCGCCGCGCACGCGCGTGTAGGAAATCGTTGATGATGATAGTGGTAATGGAGTGGGGGCCAGTAATGCAGATACACTGCTGTGCATTCACTTGCTGCGAAAAGAAACTCTGCATGAATGAGTTGATATATAATGAGTTGTCCACAAACGAGACACTGCTATCAACGCTTGTATAAGTAAAAAGAAACGCTGCTATCGACACTTCCCCCAATACTAAAGTTGTCTTTAAACGAGTCACTGCCATGAACGGCTTCAACTACAGTGTAACGAAAGGAACTGCAGGCTGAGAAGCACCGCAGGCCAACGTGAACCAGTCGTGGTGATGAGGATGAGTGAAATCTGCGATGATGATAGCGATCATGAAGTCGGTTGTAGGAACCCACTTTTGTAGTAACCAACATACACTGGTATGCATTCACTTATGGTGAAAGGAAACTCGGTATCAGTGAGTTGATATAGAATGAGTTGTCCGCAAACGAGACACTGCTATCAACGCTTTTAGAACGAAGCGAACCCATCAGAACACTGTTATCAACGGAAAGAATGCTGTAGAAGGACAAAGCGCTGAATGTACACCGATGTGTTCGACGACTGCGTATGTAATGATGTGACGATATACAGACTGAGCCCTTCGTGAATGTCTACATGTTTTTCTGACGCCTACAAACGGCGCTGACGTGTGTGAGAAAATTGTCCGCGCAGCAAAAGCCGGCGAAGCGTGCGGGAGCTCGCATGCTGAGACAGACTACGTCTGCAGACCGCCAGCTGCAAAAGGTTGCGAGCGGTTCTTGGAAGATGTTTACGGAACGGAGCTACGGTGTCTGAAAACATTGGCATCGAAGCGAAGAGCCTCGGAGCCCTGCAGCCTGAGAAACACCGCAGGAACTCGCATACTGAAAAGGAATGCATTGCAAACCGCACGTTGGGAACCCTGCAGGCTGAGAAGCACCGCAGGATGTCGCATGCTGAAAAGCACTTGTACTGCAGAGCGCAAGCTGCGAAACCTGCAGGCTGAGAAGCACCGCAGGAACTCGCATGCTTTCGAACACTACTGCTCGAGACCGCAGCTGGAGAGCGGCAGACCGCAGGCTGAGAAGCACCGCGGGCAGGGAGACTTGCAAAACTCAGATGTCCTGATCGTCTTGGAGGAAGTCACGCCAGTCCGGCGGCTGCCAAGAATCGATGATGCTCCTGGAGCCACCGCCCGTGCTGCCGCCGATGTCCAGGTAGTCGCCATCGGCCCTGAACAGACGGCCGTGCCCCAACGCCAGAATCGCTTGGTTGCGGATTTGAAGCAGCGCTCCGCTCTCAAACATCTGCAACACGTCCAGCTGCCTGCGCGTGAAGTTCGGCTTTGGCTGGCCAGCCTGGGCAGACAGATGGCGGGAAAGCCGCTCCCCCTCGTTGTAGCGCGCGATGGCCTCGGCCTTCTGGTGGTGCAGCCGGCGCCGCTGTTGCCGCAGAGCTTCCTCGGGAACTGCTGCATCACGGCCCTCACTGTGATCAGCTTGCAACGCTTGCGTTAGCCAATCAACGTCGAAGCGCCCTGAGAAGGCCAGCACCTCCCAGATCTGTTTGGTACCGGCCACACGTTGCAAATGGCGATGCCACCGCTTACGCTTCTGGTCTTTCACAAACTTGGCGACGCTACCCAGACCTGCACCCTTGGCCTGGCCACCTTTTCCCGCAGGCTGAGAAGCACCGTGAGAACCTTTCTTACCGCCTGGCCCTTTGTTAGGACCCTGCGGAACCGCATGGCCCCCTTGTGGCGCAGACTTGCCTCTCGCTTTTCCCTTTTCGACATCCCGTTCCTGAAGCGCACGCTGCTGCCGCGACTGCTCGTACTGGTCGCGAGCTACTCTGACCAATTCCTGGCGCTCAGGCTCCGTGAGAACGTAGCGCATGTCGTCGATGTTCTTGCTCCGCAGAAAGTCATGTCGAAGCTTAAGGACAGAGAGAATGGCTCGGCCAGTCTCCTCCTGAGACGCAAAGGCCGCGTCATATTCCGAGCCAGGCTGAGGAGCGCCAGCTGGATTAGTGTCCGCTGGCTCCGTGGACTTCCTCTTTTTGAAAAGCAAGAGACTGAGATGATGGAGGACTTTCGGATCGTACTCCTCGTCGTACCTGTCGTCCCAAAGCTGCCTCAGCTCCCTGTGCAAGTCGTTCGCGCGATTCTGAACGACATCCTCGACGTAGTCGGGATCACCCGGTGAAGTCGGTGAAAGCGGAGGAGTAGAACTCGGCGACCGATCCCAATGCACAGAAGACTCGGCGTCCGCCTGTACGCTGACGTCGGCGTCGGAGACGTTTTCGACGACAATCTTCCGCCTCTTGCTCTCCCCAGGCTGAATAGCACCAGGGAGAGTGAGCACAACCGCCACCGCATCGTGTGCGTCGTTGCGCATGCCACGATCCGTAAAAGACGCGCCAACGGCAATGGAGCAGAAACGGGCGACTGCTCCGCAGACCGCGACGTGGTCGCCTTTGAGGTCGGCCGGAGTGGCATGGACCTCCCAGAGCTTCTCGTCGTTCTGCTGGCGCTGGTAAGCCTCCCGCGCCTCCTGGAAAGTGAGGTTGTCGTCGCCGACTACAAGCAGAACGACTGCCTGGCTCAGATTCTCAAGAATCTTTCCCAGGCAGTCCAGGTGCAAGCGGAGATTGCGAACTGTCCGCTTTCGAGTCTGGATGGTCGGCGGTTTCTTGCCGCACACGATGTGCATGTTGGCGATCACCACGTGGAACTTGTCATGGCCTGGTTTGTTCACCTCAAAATGTGAAATAACAGCATCAATCTCTCGGCCGCTAGGAGGCCTGTAAACTTTGCTGTCTTCGCACAGAGTCAGTTCCGCAGGCTGAGAAGCACCGCGGAACCCCCAGAGAGTCAAGTAGTTGTCGACCTCCGAGAAGCGAATGCCATCACCGAAAGGCTTACTGAGGATCTCTGTCACGTTGATCCCTGCTCGGCGAAAGCCTTCACGGAACGCACCGACCTCGCAGCCACAGACAATATCAGCATCAGCGGTCTCCACTATCGTGGCGCACACCCTTCCGAAGTTAGCGCAGTGAGTGGCCGCCTGCTTACCAGTCATCATGCCCTGCTCGAACCCGAAATTGAACGAGGCGACCGTGAAAGACGCAGGCTGCACAGCGCCAGAGCCAGGCGTCTGTCCACCTTCCTCCGCAGGCTGAGAAGCACCGCGAGGCGGCGCAGGCTGAGAAGCACCGCGAGGCGGCGACACTTCGGACGAGCCTCGCGGAGCAGAGGCTGCGGATGAACGTTGGGTATGGGGGTACGGCCAGGGGAACGCCATTGCAATCGAAACTGAGTGGACTGCAGTGAGTGAATGCAGTGGCACGATTGAATGCAGTGGACTGCAGTGTCACTAGCAATTCCTGAACCAAACACGGCTGTGGCGGAAGGACTACGAAGCGTCTGGCTATTCAAAATGTGGCCCGGGAATGTAGTTCTGGGAACTCGAAGACCAGGAAGTGGCCTACAGTTGGCTCCGGGCATCCAAAATGTGGCCCGGGAATGGAATTCTGGGAACTCGAAGAGCACGAAGTGTGTGACTGTTGCATCCGGCCCTCCAGAATGTGGCCCGGGAATGGCGTTCTGGGATGTCGAAGAGCACGAAGTGTGTGACTGTTGCATCTGGTTATTCTAAATGTGGCCCGGGAATGGCGTTCTGGGATCTCGAAGAGCACGAAGTGTGTGACTGTTGCATCTGGTTATTCTAAATGTGGCCCGGGAATGGCGTTCTGGGATCTCGAAGAACACGAAGTGTGTGACTGTTGCATCCGGGTATTCAGAATGTGGCCTGGGAATGGAGTTCTGGGAAGTCGAAGAGCACGAAGTGTGTGACTGTTGGTGAAAAACGAGCCCGGCACCCTGCCGCCCGGCAACTCCCCAACACCTGCCCGGACCCCCCTGTGGAGTGATCTGTGAGCTCTTTTGAATCAACTAGAAACCTATCAGTCTTCGCTGTTAGGTAATTTTAGCATTTGCGTTGTTTCGGAATTCCGACGGATCAAGACGGCCCAAGAGGCCCCCAATATCGCCCACGAGGCCTCCAAGATGGCCCCATGACGGCCCAAGAGGCCCCCAAGGCGGCCCCAAGAGGGCACAAGGGGCCTCCAAGACGGCCCAAATGGCCTCCAAGACCGCTAAGATGGCCCCAAGATGCCTCCAAGACGGCCCAACATGCACCCAAGACTGCCTAAGATGGCCTCAAGATGGCCCAAGAGGCCCCCAAGAGGCCCCCAAGAGGCCTCCAAGACAGCCCAAAAGGCGTCCAGGAGGTCTTCCAGGAGGGCACTACGAGGTCAAAATCATTGATTTTAAGGTTGTTGAAAGATTTTGGCATTTTCTTCTTCTCGGGATTCCGACGGCTCAAGACGGCGCAAGAGGCCCCCAAGATCGCCCAAGAGACCACCAAGATGGCCCCATGACGGCCCAAAAGGCTCCCAAGACGGCCCCGAGGGAGCCCCAAAAAGGCCCAAGAGGCCTCCAAGACGCCCAAGATGGCCTCTAAGAACCCCTGATATGCCCCAAGAGGGCCCCAAGACGACCCAGACAAGCCCTCAAGACGGCTTCCGACGGCGTCAGACAAGCCAGGAACGCCCTGAGACGGCCAACGAGGCCCCCAAGAAGCCCCCCCAAGTCCCCCAAAACCGTCCAAGAGGCTCCCAGGAATCTCCCAGGAGGCCCCAAGAGGCGCCCAAGAGGTCTCCTCCTCCTCCTCCTCCTCCTCCTCCTCCTCTTTTTTCCTCATCCTCCCCCTCCTCCTCTTCTTGCTCCCCTATGCGTTCCCCGAAGTCTTCCCAAACCGACTCGGGGAACAATTGGCCGGATAGCTTGGCCAAGCTCTGGCCCAGCTGTCGGCCACAGAGGCGCTTCCAGAGGGGCAGGGTGCGGCGGTGATTCGCCGCAGGCGTCTTCGATAGTTTGGTGGAGCCTCTCGGTCGCCTTTAGCCTCTCCATCGTACTGAACGTGGGGCCTCGCGCGAGTGGGGGCAGGGCCAACCCCAAGACCCCGTCAAACCTGAAGAACGCGAACGGCTCGTGGCTTTCGGAGGCGACAGCAATGAAGGAGCCTGTGTAGCAGACGGAGCCGACGCAGACCTGGTCCTCGACGCACCTGCCCGAGGTGCTGCCGGTGCCGAAGTGGATGATCGCCATGCCCAGCCCCTCGGGGTCGGAGGCATTACAGGGGACGCGGCGCGCGTTGGGGGACGCGGTCTGATTGTAGCGGCTGTGGAGGAGGCACGCGTCGCTCTCGCAGTCACTCGCTGGCACCAGCAGGTTCCCACTGCCCGAATCGAAGACGACCTCGAACGACTGTTTCGGGTCGCCGATCGTGACGGTGCCGAAGTAGGCCGTCTTGTGGATGACCCTGGCGTCGGCCCTCCTCCTGTGACGGAACCCTCGGAGGTCAACCGTGCTCATGGTGTATGCGTGGTCGTGATCGTGGCCGCTGCCGTGGCCCGTTCCCTTGACCGTCTCCTTGATGGTCCTTCTGTGCAGCCGCACCGACGCCGACACGCCCACGGCTTCGCAGCCCGTAAGGAGACCGAAGAGCATCGCAGGGAGAGCCGACGCCATCAGACCCGGAGGGCCCGATGCACGAGACATGAAAGGGAGTGAGGTACTGATGGGGCCCAGCTACGGCGGACCGCCTTCGCGAGTGGATGCGGGCTGAGCTGCGCCTCGCGGCTCGGGGCAGCGGCGAGGGCAGGCGGAGAACGCTCCCCCCGATGATTTCCTTCCTGTTGCTATCTCCCGCGGCGCGTGCGAGATCTTCGCGGTACTGCCCGCTGTCGGGGTTCAGAGCCAAGGCAGGCGGGCCCGCATACGTTCAGAACTTAACTTGAGATTTCCTCCTCTGACACATCCGCTAAGAAGCTGTAAGCACACACGTTCATAAACACACACGCACAGATCTCGGCCCCTGCGGGACAGTGAATCTAACTAGCGTTGACGATTGCGGCATAGTGGGAACTAAATGCAGCTCCCCATGAAGCCCGTGGCAAGACAGTGCTGCCAGAAACGCGCAGTGCTGAACCAGCGCCCAAAAAGCAGGCGTCGCAGGAAAGGATAACGCACACTCGTAAACAGGTCATACGGGCGAAGGCGGACAAAAGTCATCACCGGCAGGCGGCAGGCCAATCTGGGTAGGCAGAATCCAAAAGAAAATCTGCCAAATGAAATGATCCCGGCAGATATTACACACACAGGCACGCAGACGCGCACACACACACTCACACACACACACACACACACGCACACAAACAAACAAAGCTTGGCGTCGCGGCCGCGCGCGCAGCGACCCAGTGGAGTCAAACCAGTTGAAGAAGAGGAACGCGCTCCCACAAGGAACCGCGCTGCGTCCGCTAGAGGGGAAGGGCGGGGACGGATATGTGAGACAAGGAACCAAACAGCATACAACACCAGAGACTTCTCCTGGAAGATTGCAGCAAACTCTCCTATATGGTTTGGATCATTATAGGGGGTCCTGGGGGTCCTCCCTTCATCCTCCTTTGTGTCCTGTCCCTCCTCCTCCTCCTCCTCCTCCTCCTCCTTCTCTCCACCTCCTGTTTTCCTCGTTACTGCCCCTCCCCATGCTCCTACTCTACATTCATCATCGTCATTCCTCTTCCTCCTCCGCCTCCTCCTGCGCACTCCTCCTCCTCCTCCTCCTCTTCCTCCTCCTTCCTTCCTCCCTGCTGCCTCCTCGCCACTCCCTCCTCCCTGCTGGCCCGTAGGCCCTCCGGGCTGGTTGGCGGTCGCACTGCCCCGAGGGACCCGCCTGCTCCACGCAATCCAAACATGCAATCACTCCCCTCCTCCTCCCTTCCACTCCCCGTCTTTCCTCGTTTCCCTCCCTTCCTCTCTCCTCCTCCAGTTTCTCCCTCCGCCCTCCTATTCATTCCCCTCCTGCTCCTCCTCACTCGCTCTCGCTCTCCTCCTCCTCCTCCTCCTCCTCCTTTGTCCACTTGGTTCATCTCTCCTCGCTCCCACGTCCTTCTGCTGCAGCTGCTGCAGCTGCTGCTGCTGTATCTTGACGCTCGAACTGGCTCGAACGAGGGCCTTTCCCAACTTTCCTTGGAACGGGGGGAAGATGGAGAGGCACTGATGGGGTATTCTCGTCGGCCCACGATAAGAGGCGGAGGATAAGTGAAGCCTAGGTCTTGCTTCAGCGCGGCGGAAGACTGTCTTCTGCAGCCAATCGCACGGTCGCGTCAGTCACAGCACGTCTGGAGAGCGTACGTGCTGGGCGGGTGTGCGGCGCGCATGCCGGGGGTACAAAGTAAGCGCTGCCCAGTCTGAGCGGCAAGCAGACATTCGAAGAGAAAAAACTACACACTTGGCATTCCACTGCTTAACCGAGGTGCCCGAACTTTCGCTAAACGGCGGGCGCGAGGGACTACGTACTCGACCACGAAACTCGACACGTCGGCGGTGGAGAGCCGGGCTCCCGCACATAGCCTTAGAGCAACCTCGCGTGGCGTCCCCAGTCGCCTTGAGGTTAAGGCATACCCTTGGAAATATGCATGGAAATCCCTGGTCTGCCACTCTGGGCTGGTGGCCACCACGAGGAGCTGGTAAATGTTTACGTCGATCACGTGCCTTTGAGATAATCGGCAAAGCCAACATCGGAAAACAAAGCATCACATACACATAAAACTGTCGGAGGTCCGCGCGGATCTCTCGGATCGGCGCTAGAGCCCCCTGGAGGCGCCTCAGGCGCCGCCCCCGGCGCGGCAGGGAGGTAGGTCCAGCGCCGATCCAAAAATCAGCACGGGTCTCCGAAAGTCAATGCTTATGTCATGCTTTGTTTTGTTCCTCGACAGCAGTAAGGAACTTCTGCATCAAACCTCACGAGATCAGCGCAGCGCACGGGACTCGGAGGGCGCTGGCTACCCCGCGGCCGCCAGGACGTTCCCAAGCGTCAAGGAGATGGCAAGCCAGCAGTCCCATGAGTAGGCTGCAAATGCACCGCAAATCCTGGCCCGCGACCTCCTGAGAGCAGTACCCAGCGCTGGGCTCGCTAGCGACGGCACGGTCTTCAAGAACCCCATAAGCCCTCAATAGAGTTGCAACCATCAGCGTCAGCATCAGCGCTGCTGAGCACTGCAGAAGCACGAGCATTGAATTGTAAATGTCGGTCGCCGAGGAAAAACTCATGGCTCTGGTGGCTATGTTGTGGCTCGTGCGATCCCGACACGTGATTCGACTGCACCCTGAACCAAAATGACTACCACCAGGGAACTGCAAGATAGCATTGGAGCAGCATGCCACAGGGATATCTGTCAGCCACGGTGTCTCTAGCATGTTCGGATGTGTTCGAATGCGTGCCTGTCTGGACGGACTGATGTAATTCAGGACCGACCGCCCCCGCTGGAATGCGCATATGCGGACCCCCACCTTGTTTTGCTTCATGGCGCCTGGAGACCCGAAGACTCCAAGATCTGCCGAAGATACCCAAATAGACTCCAATATTCCCAGAAACGCCTAACTACGCATACAGCGATGCTCTAAGAGGCGAAATGCGTAAGGACGACCTACATGTGTTTTGCTTCGAACGCGGCTTCAGGACATCCCCAAGATCCATCCATACATCACCAAGCAGGTCGAATCGATCCTTTCTGTAAGAACTCTGGTGAATAACCGCGCCCCAAACGGCCCAGATAATTTCAACGGGGCCCCAAGAGGCCATCTCAGGGATGCCCCACAGAAGCGCCAAAGTAGCCTTCAAGAGCTCCTCCAAGCGCCACGCAACAACCATGCAATCTTACGGCTGCGCCACACTACGGCACCGTAGAACTGCTCCTCCGTTGAAACCCCAAATGTTCCAAACAGCATGGCGAATTCTATATCATACCAATACGTACGTAGATCGACACACCACCGCGTCCGCGCGTCCGGGCCGTCTGCGCCGACTGTCTGGGCCATCAGGTCGTCCGTCTGGGCCGCCTGGGTCTGAGCTGTCTCTGGGCCGCAGAGGCTGTCCGTCTGGGCCGTATGGGCCGTCCGTCTGGGCTGCCTGGGTCGTCTGGGTCTTCCGTTTAGGCTTTCCGCCTGACCCATCTGGGCCGCCGTTAGGGCCGTCTGGGCCGTCGGTCTCGGCCGCCTGGGCTGGCTGCGCTGTCCGTCTGGGCCGTCTGGTCGGGCTGGGCCGTCCGGGCTGTCCGTATGGGTCGTTTGGGCCGTCGGTCTGGGCTGTCTAGGCCGTCGGTCTGGGCCGTATGAGCCATCTTGGCTGGCCATCTGGGTTGTCTGGGCCGTCCGTGTGGGCTGCCTGGGCCGTCCGTCTGGGTTATCTGCGCCGTCTGGGATGTCCGTCTTGCCGTCTGGGCCGTCAGGTTTCCCGTCTGGGCTGTGCGTCTGGCCTGTCTGGGCCGTCTGGATTGTCGGGTTGTCTGGGATGGGCCGTCTGCTTTCTGTGTGGATCGTCGGTCTGGGCTGTCCGGGCCATGCGTCTGGGCCGTTTGGGCTGCGTTCTGGTCCGGCTGGGACGTCCGCGTGGGCTGTCCGTGTGGGACGTCTCGGCCGACGCTCCAATCCGTCTGGGCCGTCCGCCCGGGCCTCCTGGCATGTCTTGACTGTCCGCGTAGACCTTTGCGTGGTCCCCAAGTCACTAACCATCGCGCCCTAGCTGACATTCGCTCTCTGCAACGAGCCCATCCGCGCGCGCATAATTCATCCCGCGCGCGTCCCATATTCGGCGGGCGTTGCTCGTTGAAGGCGTGTACTTTTCATTGAGCTTCTGTGGCGGGGGCGGTGCTTCTGCGAGGAACCTGACACAGTGTAGACCTGCAGGATAATTCCGTCACGAAGGCCAATCGTGGCGTGGAACCGAAAAGTCGCTGCTAGTCTGCAGCTATAGAAGCAAAAAACTAACGCACATCTGCGCACTACCCGACATCAACATGACATAACAATTCCGTCGACTAGCCCCGAACAGCAAGGAACACGCTCCCGGCGACACCGCCAACGACAAACGCAAGCTGACAACACGCATGGATTACAAACGATGTTCTTCTAGCAAGAAGTGCTGTGCAATATATGCGGCGCGCTCTACGTGGTGATCTATGTGGTGAATTTCACTTTGACCGTCTTGAAGCTGTCCTCTCCACCGCTCGTGCAAACAAATTCAATCACTTGCTCAACTTGAAGCTGTTCTCTCCACTGCTCGCGCAAACATCCCACCCTCCCACCCGCAACTTTGTCGCAAGCCCTCTTAAGACCGTGACAGTGGGTGCCAAATTGCACTTGGCAGTGACACCGACGCCGACGACGACAGCGACGACGACGACGACGCCGCCGACAACTACTACGACGACACCGACGACGTCTCCAACGAATTCGACGACGACGATGGCGATCACGACGACGACGACGACGACACCGACGACGACGACGCCGACGACGACGACGACGACGACCACGCCGACGACGACGACGCCGACGACGACGCACCCGACGACGACGACGACGACGAAGACGACGACGGCGGCAACGACGACAACGACGAGGGAGGAGGGAGGACGGCGACGACGCGAACGACGAAGAAGGAGCGA